TGACCTTAGACAACTCATTGTGCCTCTCAGGTCCTTCCCAGTCTTCACACCTGCTCCCTGGGGGTCATTCTAGCATAAGCTTCCAAGGATATCCTTAGGTGTATGGGCCCATCAGTACCTATATTACCTGTGAAACCCTAAGGCAGGAGTCATAAGTCCTTGACACACAAACTTAAAAGATGAAATAGTCATTAAAGGGGAGAGACAAAGAGAGACACACAATTCAATCCAGACCTGGGTCACAGTGAGATCTAGGGAAAGCCATTTACCCTCTTGGTTATGTTTCCCACTCTGCACCACAAGAAATGTGAAGTGACTGAGTTTCAGAGATTGTCCTCCTCTGGTATAAATCTTCTAATAACTCCCTAGGACATTTAGAATTGGCCTAACTGCCTCCTCTCATGAGATGGGTATCACACAACTGTCCTAGTATCTGCAGCCTCCTGGTGCCTAAAGACTGTAGCCCCTGCTCTGTAGCTTCTGAGGAACAGAAATCAGCAAAAGTTTTGGGATATCACTTCCAAAATGTTAGTTATGCAAAATCTGATTTCTTTCTGACTAATTCCCCTTTCCTCTCTTCTCCTCTCCTCTCCTCCTCTTCCCTTTTACTTTCTTCTTTCTTTTCTTTTCCTCCCTCCTTTTCTCCCTTCTTTCCTCTCTCTCTCTCCCTTCTCCTTATGGTTTGAATATGAGTATTCCTCAAAAGTTCCTTTATTAATGCAGAAATTTTTGAAGGTGGGTTACCAGGAGCATGTCCCAGAAGGGTGTATCTTCCCTGAAGCCCCTTCCTCTTCCCCCCTCTCTCTGCTTCCTGACTCTGCCATGAGCTGAGCAGCTTTCATTAATAAACATATGAATCCTCCATGATGTGCTGCCTTACCTTGGGCCCAGAGGAACAGTCAGACATCTATGGACTAAGATTTCTGAAACTCTGAGCCCCAAATAAACTTTTCCTCCTTTAAGTTGTTCTTGTTGGGTATTTTGGTCACAGCAACACAAAAGCTCAAGTTGAGATATTATGAGCTGCCCTGTGGATTATGCCAAAGCCAAAGATCCTATAGTATCCTGGCCCACAGATAGAAATGCACTGAGGCTCTGCCAACTGGATCCTGCCAATAGAAGAGAAATGAATAGATCCCACCTCTCATCCTTGGCCAACAAAATTCAAGTACACATCTCCTGGAAACTTTTCTTTTACACCCTCTTTTCTTTGACAATGTAGCAGCCATATTGTATCCAAATGAGAAAGGATAAGAAAATTGCAGATCTCAGCCCAGAGTTCCTATATCAGTATGAGCAGGTTCAACTTTCTGGGCTCAGTCACACAGGCCTCAACACTTACAATAATACTGCAATTGGTTTGTATTAATGCTTTGTTGCAGGCACAGTAGTCAATTCAGATTATTAATCCACTGATGAGGTTACAGTTCTCATAATCGAATCCTTTCAGCTCTGAACATTCCTACATCGCCTATCACATGGGCTCTTCAGGGGACATTAATGATCAAAACCATGAGAGATAAAAGTCTTGTTATGTTGCCCAGGCTGGCCTCAAACTCCTGAACTAAAGGGATCCTGCCACTTCAGCATCTTGAGTAGATGGAATTACTATAGGTGTATGATCAACATGCCCAGCTCACCTAGGTAAGTTTTAAAAGGATCTTGATGGCACTTATGTCAAAACTAAAGGGGTCAGAAATGTTAATAGGAAGACAAATTAGAAGCCCATTATATTAATCTGGGTGAGAGGTGAGCAAGAAATGGAAAGTTGGAGAGAGGAAGTTGGATTTGGTTAACTTTTGAAGAAAGACCCCAAAGATTTGTTGATGAATTGGACAGCCAACTGGATCCTGCCAATGGAAGAGGAATGAACAGGCCCCATGACTCAACTTTGACCAGCAAAATGTGAGTGCATATTTCCTGGGAACTTTTCTTTCCATCTTCTTCTCTTTGACTCTATAGCAGCCATATTGTATCCAAATGAGAAAGGACAAGAAAATGAATATCTCAGCACAGAGTACATGATACATTTAATTTTAGTAGCTACTAGAATTAAAGCAAGGCAGTCCAACCTATTGTATGTGTGTTAGAACAATCCATGGCACTTGGTGTTCTTCTTCTGGCTTCTTAAATAATGTTTCCTTTATTTATATAACCAAAGGATTTTTTTCATTAATAAGCATATGAATTCAAGAAGAAATATGCCATCTGTTTTACAACGTGAACTGTGTTTTTGGTGTTTGAGAGAAATATCCAAATTTATCTAAAGCAAATTTGTTAAACTAAATTTACACTTTTCATTGAATAAATTCAATGCAAATGTATTGTTACTACTGTGCTGATTTTCTTCAGGGTGAAAGCAGATATTCTTATATTTCCATGTTTTCTTGTGAATAATTCCTAAAAGGAGTGTGTGTGTGTTGTGTGTGTGTGTGTGTGTATCTATCTATCTATCTATATATATATATATATATATATATATATATATAACTACTTTGAAATTTGAATTTGTGCAAATTCTGAGGGAAAAATTCAGATAAATCTTTTAAAAAATATATTAATACATTGTAGCAAAATCTTAGCTACCTAGGACTAAATTTGTGAATACTAGGTTTCGCTCATCTATAGGCCCTGGATTTTTAATATTCACTATTTTGGATAGGCATCTTCATGAAGTGTATTATATACATCTTCACTTTTTTTAAAAAGAAGATTGGCCCAGATAATTCAACATTTCTCAATGTCTCAGGATCTGCATTAATGTTTATGATTGCAATTGTCTGCATCATGATTATGCCACACTCAAGAACTCTTGATGACTATTGGTTAGTCTATTTGTATTTGTTTCCTGATCAAATTGTTCCTGTGGTAGAGAATTTTTTTTTCAGTATTGTAAATTGAACCCAGAACCTCACACATGCTAGGCAAGTGCTCTATCACTGAGCTATATTCCCACTCCCTTTTAAAATTTTTATTTTGATACAGGTTCTAAGTTGCCCATCTGGGCTTCAAACACCTGACCCACCTCCCTTACGAACAGATGCAAGTTTTAGCCACTTTCCTTATATCTAGATTTGAATAGATGACTACATTCTGGCCATGAGATGTAAATTGAAGTGGATGAATGTTCTGGAAATGACCACATTAGGTAGGAGTTTGCTCTTTGCTTCTTTCTTACTCCTGCATATAACAGAAGTACTTGTGGCTGACCTGGAACCCTGAGGTGATTTTTGTGATTAGACCCCATGAACTGGGAATGGCAAAGCAGAAAGATGGGAGCCTGGATCCTTATGATATGATGCCACACTTCCTCTGCACTACATACCTTCATTCTTCTCTCATATGAGAGAAAAATAATTAACTTACTTAAGGCATTGTTATTTTGAAGTTTTCTGTCATGTGCATCCAACCCCAATTTACTAATTTTCATGTTTTTTATGCCTTCTGTTGCTTTTTTAAAAAAAAATGTCACTCTAGATGCCTAGACACTGTGCTTATTTACATCACCCTCATTTGTTTTTAGTTTTCTGTCATTATTCTTTGTTTAGTGATTGTGGAGGACTACTATCTGCTAAGTGCTAGAGATAGTGTTGTAGGCAAAACAAACATGTATGTGTTCTAGGAGCTTAAATTATATTGAGGATATTACTATCCATTGGGGAAACAGATGACCAAGTTTGTTAGCCATTAAAAAGGCTGAAGGGGCTTGCCTTTGAATACATGGACATTTGGCTACCTATACTTTCTTATTTTTACCTGTGCTATAGTTAAGTATGATGGCTTACAACTGACTTGTGTTTGCGTGAGATGTATTTACTTCCATGCTTGTTACAAGTTTATAAATAAAGTACCTGTTTTCTGTTTATCGGAGAGATTTCTATTGTGAAATAGGTATGGTGGCACATGCATGTAATGCCAGCTCCTGGGGAGGATAAGGCAGGAGGATTGCAAGTTCCTTGCACAACTTAGTAAGAACCTGCCTCAAAAGAAAAGTAAAATGGGCTGGAGATGCAGTTTAGTGGTCAAGTGCTCTCGCGTTTGAACCCAAGGCTATTGAACTAATAAATCCCCCAGACTGGCGCAGAATTTTTCCTCTTAACAGAGGCCACCCTAAATGGGCAATTTTCTTGGCACCTTCGCACCAGAATTTCCCAAGGTGGAAAGGGCAATTTTCCCAAGGTGAAAAGGGCAATTTTCTTGGCAACTTTGCACCAGAATATCCCAAGCTGTCCAGGGCAGTTCAAAGCAATGATTCATTCACTGCTCCCCACAGCACCACCTTGGATTTTATTTTATTTTTTGAGATAGGGTCTTGCTATATTGTCCAGGCTAGTCTCCAACTCTTGGGCTCAAGAGTTTCTCCTGCCTCAGCTCTCTAGTAACTGGGGCTACAGTTACAGTCCACACCACAATGCTGGACTTCAGCCTCTATTTTATGGTAATAATGTCCTTCATTTTCTTTAGAGTTTTACCATGTACATGTGCCTCTCTGTACACATAATTCAGTTTTACTGATTTTTGAACTGTGTATTCATGAAATTGTACTCTACATATATTTCTGTATTTTCTCTCTTTTGACATTGCATATGTAAGATTCAGTCATATGAATTACTTCAGTGAACATGGTGAAGTAAGACAGTTCCACAATTTCTCTCCACCTGTGAAGCACACAAGTTATGTGCTTCCAGAAACAATCACTGTACAGTACAGATACTTCCATTCCAAAAGTGAGAAACTGAAAAAAAAAGAAAGAAAGAAAGAAAGAAAGAAAGAAAGAAAGAAAGAAAGAAAGAAAGAAAGAAAGAAAGAAAGAAAGAAAGAAAGAGGGACAGGTCCCAGGCAAGTCCAGAATCCAGCAAGAGAAATTCCATTGGACTTTAAGGCTGAGATGAGAAAGGTCTTGAAAAATAGTTAAAGAATGGCTTTTCCTGGCTAAGTACCTGGATAGACAAGAAATTAAATATTTCAGGGTGCTTGACTCATGGTGGCTATATAGTTACCTTGTCTGACAGCACATTCTCTAAGAATTCTCGTCATATTGGCAGTACAAAGGGCTCGGAGACGGTACAGCAGACCCAGGAGTTAAAACGATCCAAGTGTGTCTTGGGAGGAAAAAATTAGAGAACATGAGCAGGATGAAATTGTGGAATTTTCTGAATGAATGAATGAATGAATGTGAATACAGGAAACCTTAACAGGATTGTGAGGGAGTGTAAACTGTTTAATTATGATGGTGGGAGGTTAGTTGTAAAATGATGACTCTCAACTCCTCTCATTTTGAAGGCATTTTAAACTATTCTTAACAAACACGAGGAGGCAGAGAATAAAGATAATTCAGACCACTCTCCGTTTAGAGACAGTCTATCTACATCCTTAAATGGATGGTTACTGTTATCCTCTTTTCAGGGCTCTGACGAAAAGAAACTCAGAGCAATTCAGTTACCTGAATGAAACACGGCGCCAGGTGCCCGGTAGATTCGCCTCGCACAGCGCTTTCGTGTCCGCAGGACTGGGCGTACGAGCTCCGCGCCTTCGACTTGGCTGAGCGCCGAGCTGCCACCGCCGCTCCGAGTCAGCCGGCTTCGCGGCTCCGACCTGGCGTGCTTTGAGAAACGCCGCGAGGTTGGGGGCCCCGCCATTTATTCCTAGGCCGGGAGCCCGGTCGCGCGGCAGGACTGGGGGCGGGGCTGGGCGGGGCCAAGGGGGTGAGGCGTGATGACGCCACGGGCGCCCCGCCCACGTGGTGCCTGAGCCGGCGGCGGTTGTGGTAGTTGGGCAGGTGGTAGCGATCGCAACGGCCGCAGGGTTCCCGGGAAGCGTGAGACGGCCTCGGTGGCTGCAGCTCCGAAGTCGTGCGGGACCTCACGCCTCCCTCCTGTCGCTGGCGCTGAGCCTTCTGCCTTTCCTGCCCGGCTCCTGGCCCCCGTCCCCGTCTGGACTGGGAAGAGAGGCCCCGGGGAGGGGCGGAGCTGTAGGTGAGGCGCCAGGAGCCCCGCCCCCTCCGCTGCCCGAGCTAACCCTTGTTAAGTCTCACACTTGTCCTGAGACCCACTTACAATCAGGCCTCCCATCTCAGGACATCTCGAAGTACCTGGTCCGCGAGGTCACAAATGAGCGGGGAGGGGAATAGCCTTTGACCAAGAGGAGCTCACTTTTCCCATAGACGTTAGCCCTCTGTTAATATTGCAACTGGTAAGTATAAAGTAGGAAAAAATATAGTTAAAAACATTTGCGGGCTGGGTTTGTGGCTCACTGGTAGTGTGCTAACCTTGCATTTATGAGGCACTGGGTTCAATTCTCAGCATCGCAAATAATCAAATGATTAAAATAAAGGTCCATCAATAACCAAAAAAAATTTTTTTTAATTTGCTCTATAATTTGTTGACCTTTAAAAATAAAATTTGAGTTCTTACACTTCAGGAAAAATGGGTGCGGATTTGAAAATGATACCTGCCATAAATGCAGCTGAACTAAACATAAACATTAGTTCACAAATTAATGCTTTCAACAGAATGAGTAAATTAGGAAAAGTTTTAACCAGTTTCATTCTATATTATGTAGCGTGATCATCCAAAATTTTATACTTTTCTTGTACAGAGGGTATGTATTTTTTTTTTTAAAGGGAAACTTTTTTTTTAAATCAAGGTATACCATTAACTTAATACGTTGAAATTTTTAGCATTATACCCTTGCATTTATTTATTTATTTCATTTATTTTAAAGAGAATTTTTTAAAATATTTATTTTTTAGTTTTCAGCGGTTACAACATCTTTGTTTGTATGTGGTGCTGAGGATCCAACCCGGGCGCAGGCATGCTAGGCGAGCACGCTACCACTTGAGCCACATCCCCAGTCCCCCACCCCTCCAAAAGGGAAACATTTTAAATTCAACAAATTGATACTTTCTGTTACCAGTGGATTAAGATTTTTTTTCTCAGTAAAAATTTCCTTAAATTATGTGCTTAATAGAAATTGAATTATTTTGTTTACAAGACTGCTTCCACTTGAAATGCTGTCACAAGTAACTTGGAAGGGGGATATCTTGTAATGCTATTCTTAGAGGTAATAATGCATGAATTAAACTCTTGGACTATGTATTTGACACGTTAAAAAATGCACAGTATTAGTGTCGACCATCTATTAATAGTTAACCTATAAATACTGTTCTATAATTTTCTTTCCTCAGAAACAATTGGTCTAAGTAGTGCCACTTGGGTCCCGGATTTTCTTCAGTGTCATTTAGCAAACCAACTGTCTTTAAGCAATTAGTAAACAATTGAATAATCCAACAGAGTACTTGACAGTTTTTGCTTTTAAATTTCACAGGAAGGGTTCTTCACTCTTCTGGAACTCAGAATAGCAAAATTTGAGGAAAAGCCCTATGATGATTTACTGCTCTTAAGAGAAAAAGCCCACATTTTCAGGCTATAAATGATTGAATCTATTGAAGATAACATCTACTAAGACTGGCCTTTATGCTTATTTGTTAAGTAGTTGAATAAAATTGGGCAACTTAAATAAATTAACTGGCAGACAAAGTAGAAACTGTCCTGCATTGTTGTTTTCATAAAGAGATGACATTTTCCAACCATGCAGATGTGAGCCAATTTTCTGACTATTGTATGAAGTAGTAAAACTGAAAGGGAGAAATTATTGTTATACACTCTGAATTGCTTTGCATCATCTCATTTGAGATAATTCTTGACTTTTTTGTTGAATGTGGTGGCACACACCTGTGATCCCAGTGACTTAGGAGGCCAAGGCAGGAGGATCATAAGTTTGAGGCCAGCCTCAACTACTTAGCAAGACCTTAAGCAACTCAGTGAAAACCTGTCTCAAAATTAAAAATAAAAGATATGGGATGTAGCTCAGTGGCATAGTGTCCCTGGGTTCATTCCCCAACACCAAAAATGGAAACAAATGATAAAGTGATTTTATCCTAATTTACCCTTATTACTTCAACCATGGACATTGTCCATCAAACTTGGACTTTGTCATATAGTTCCAACCCTATATTTCAGGCATAAATGCTGATCTTCTCTGTCATATGAGAGTGAGTCAGTTCTATGTGTGTTTTAAGCATCTGTGTGGATTATCAAAGGTGGAGTTCTGGTTTGTGGATCAGTGAATATTAGTAGCACCAACTCATGTTCTTTTTCTTTTTTTGACATTGAGTCTCTATGTTGCCCAGGCTGGTCTTGAACTCCTGGGCTCAAGTGATCATCCTGCCTCAGCCTCCTGAGTAGCTGGGACTACAGGTGTGTACCACCCCACTCAGCCCAACTCATATTCTTTTTTTTTTTTTTTCATGGATAAGTAGAAAGACGCACTAGACTTTATTTTTGCCTAATGACATGTTCTTAGAGAAATCTTTCCCACATATTCTTCAGATTATCTAGAAGTAATTCTAATTTACTAATGAAATCACTCATTTAATATAAGAATTTATGCTCATAAGAATTTTCTAAAGGGTAATGGGTGATATATATGATGCTGGTTAAGTCCCTCAGAAATTAGTTGTACTATACAGTATGCCTTAATTAATTGCATATGCTGTGCTAGGCACCCTGTTTGATGGAGTATACAAACATTGAATAAAACATAGGCCCTTTTAAGCTCAGACGTAGTTGAAGAGAATAACTGTGTGCAATGTTGCATCCACCAACATGTGGGTATGTTCAAAGTGCAATGAGAAGGCAGAAGAAAGGAATAATTAATTTATATACAATAGAAATATTGATTGAATTAGGAACACAGCAGCTTTTCAGAGTTAGAAGTGGTGTATAACTTTGTCATTGAACTGCTGGTATTAGAATGACAAAATAGGAACATACCTGTAATCCTGTTTTTTCAGGAGGCTCAGGTAGGATTCAGAACTCTATGCAACTCAGGGCAACTTAGCCAGATCCCATCATGAAATTAAAAGGGACAGGATAGGGATGTAGCTCAGGGCCAGAGTACTTGCTATCATGTTCAAAGTGCCTGGATTTCTTTCCTAATACTACAGCAACAACAACAAAAATTAGTTAAAATTATTTTTATTTTTAATTGTTCTGTTTGGGTTTTAAAAAGTTAATTTTGAAGTTTATTTCACTTTTTATTTAATTTTTGAGATAGGATCTGTTACCTGAATTCTTGGGCTCAAGTGATCCTCCAAATGATCCTCATGCCTTCTATGGGTTTCTGTCTCTGTGCCTGACTGAAGCTCGTACACATTTTCTTGGTTTCTAAAATTATTTGGGTTTGGTTACTGTGTGCTAGGGATGAAATTCAGGGCCTTGTACATGCCAGGCAAGTACTCTGTTTTACTTTTGTATTGTATTTGGTGATGAGCCATCGCCTATTGAATAAGTCCCAGTGTTTTTAGCTGTCAGGTTCCTCTGTGGTCCTGTCCCAGCTGAGCTTTCGGTACTTCATATGCACATCTGCACTAATTAAACAGGTCGGCTTACTCTCCCAGCTTTTTCACAGTTCTATGCTTTTGCTGGTATTGTGTCTTCCACATGACCTTTGCCATCAAAATCTTCTTACTCTTTTCATACAGTATTTCCTGGGATGCAGTGGCGCAAGCCTGTAATCCCAGTGACTGGGGAGGCTGAGGAAAGAGGATTGCAAGTTCAAGGGCCACTTGGGCAACATAGTGAGGCCCTGTCTCCAAAGAAAAAGCAAAACAGGTTGGGGATGTGGTTTAATGGTAGAGTGTTCCTGGGTTCATTCCCCACTACCACAAATAAATAATCAAAACAACCATCCTGTCTTCTAGTCCAGTATAGTTGCTGGTTCCACTGTGAAGCTTTCTTTCATCCCTCATGTTCTTTCATCTCCACCAAAAGAACTCACTTTTCTCATCTGTAGTCTTACTGGCCTTTTGGACATAACATTATTTTCATACTGTATTAAGCAATAGGTTCTCTGAGAACAGGATCTTGCCTTGTTTCTTCTGCTGCCCTGCATTCATTACTGAAACAGAGTTATATGAATTATATTGAATACATGTGAACTTTTAGTTCTTAATTTTCAGAAAACCCCTCAAAGTACTGTCAAAAATTCTTACTCAGCATGGCCTACAAATAAATGCATTCAATCCATAAACTGTGCAGATATAAACAATGTATCTATTCCCAGAACTTCATGAAAGAAATATTTTCCAACCTGACATCTATTTTTACAATATTAACCATTCTTTGTATTGAATTTTCTCCTCTTTTTCTATGGCAATGTCTTTAGTTGTAAGCCTGATGAGGAGGAATACCCTGAAGTCATTGCAGAAGACAGCAATGTTATTTATATCCTGCCCAGTGATAATTCTGGACAGGTCAGTCCCCCAAAAGTCTCCAACTGTGACAACTTGGCAGTCAGAGAGCCCACCTGTCTTGCTGTCAGCTAGCCAGAGTTGGCACACAGAGAGCCTACCAGTGTCCCTAGAGCCTGAGTCCTGGCAGCAGATCTCAATGGATGCTGAAGAAGTCAAAAGTTTAGAGAGCAATGAGCTTGAGAGAGGAGAGAGAACAACTCTTGACATTGTGCATATAAAGGAAAAAGAGATACCCGAGAGCACTGAGGAGGCTGCCAGGGCTGCCTTGCCAGCCAGGGAGCTGCAAGAGGCATTCCCCAGAGCCCCTGCTCCCTGTTTGCACACACCACTGCCACTTTTTAGCTGGAGATGAGGGAACATGATACAGAAATGATTGCAGCTG